CACTATTCTGAATTTTGTGTTTTTTCTCTGCCTTTTCTTTACAGTTTTTGCCACATAGGTATGTGACCTGAAATGATAAGATGGCTAATTTCCATGTTTTAAAATTTTGTATAAATGGAATTATACTGTATATATTCTTGTGATTTTTTTTTAACTATTCAGCATTGTTTTTTTTTTTCCTGCCCTGTGTGAACAAATCAGCATTGTTTTTTAAAAGCCATTTGTGTTGATGAGGAAGTAGGCATAATGAATTACCAAATGTTAATTTCCATTGCTGTGTGCCATTTTATTTTATGAATATATTGTAATTTATCCAATTGCCTTTCTTAGATGTAAGGGCTTCTCCACACTACACTCCCTCTGCCCCCCGCCCACACCGGCAGTTCCCCCAGGGTTTTTGCAGTTTTAAGGAATGCTGTTGTTATGGACATTCTTTTACTTGTTTCCTGGTACACACTACAAGTTGCTGTGCAAGTTCCTGTAGAGTTTATACAGAGAAGTGGAATCGCTAGATCATAGAGTATGCGTCTTCAACTTTACTAGACAGTAATAAATTGTTTTCCAAGGTGTTTGTACTGATTGATACTCCCACTGGCTACATTGCCAGTTTCTATTTTTCTGCATTTTCTTCAATACTTGATATTGTCGGAGTTTTTAAGTTTTGCTGATTTGCATAAAATGGTATTTCATTGAGATTTTAATTTTTGTCTCCGAAAATTATTGAACGTGAGCATCTTTTACATATGTTAACCATTTTAAATTTTATCTTCTATTATTTGTTTATGTCTTTTGTCCATTTTCCTATTAGATTGTCTTCTTCTTACTGTTTTTAAGAGTTCTCTATATTACATGTGTTGCAAATATCTTTTTTCCAGTTTTTGGCTTGTCCTTTCATGTTTTTAATGTCTTTTGACGATCAAAAGTTTTTCTTTTTTTTTTTTTTTTGAGACAGGATCTTGCTCTGTCACCAGGCTCGAGTGCAGTGGTGCGATCTCTGCTCACTGCAACCTTCACCTCCTGGGCCCAAGTGATCCTCCCACCTCAACCTCCCAAGTGTCTGGGACTGCAGGCACATGCCACCATGCCCAACTGATTTTTTTGTAGAGGTGGGTCTTGCTATATTGCCCAGGCTGGTCCTGAACTCCTGGGCTCAAGTGATCCTCCTGCCTTGGCCTCCCAAAGTCCTGGAATTACAGACGTAAGCCACCATGCCTGGTCAAGTTTTCATTTGACTGCTCAACTTTTTGTTAATGGATTTTTAAAATGTTTTCATTATGAAATATTTCCCTAAATCAAGATCATAAAGTTCTCTTCCTATTAGAAGAATTAACTTATTTTTTTCTCAAGGAGATAAAGTTTGCTTTCATATTTTGTGTGGAGGTGAATTTTTTGGTAAGGATTCAATTTCATCTTTTCTCAGATTGTTATTCACTGTCCTAGCACCAATTATTGAATAGCTTAATGTTTTTCTACTGATCTCTATGCTACTTCCCTGCCATATTTACATGGGCATGTTTCTGGGCTCTGTTTTCTGTTTCATTGGTCTATTTTTCTTACCCAGGGTAAGAATACAGTTGATTCTTGTTATTTACAGTACATTTATAAAGTTGCCATGAACAGTGAGTTAGTGAATATGGAAATTGTTACTCCTAGGGGAAATACAGGGTTAGGTTCCTGTGAGCCTCTGATCATAACATTTTGTCAAGTAATCAATAGATAATTTTGTTTTATATTAGTTTCTGTGTAAATATATTTAATATGTATCATTGATTCGTTAACATTGAATTCACTGCAAACAGCCCTACATTCATGCCTGAATAAAGTGATCTAATTGTGTATTTTCTCCATAAGGCATATTGCAGCTTCCTCGTGCTTTCGAAACACTAGATGGCATTTCAACACTACCCTTGGGGACCACTTAAATAGTGAAGTCACCAACCAAAAGCACAAAAATATGAAAAGCATGGCACTGGATAGATCGTGGAAAGGACACTTGTTTATATTATGAAAGCTGAAACAAGAAGGCATAGTGCCACCTTGTTCTACCTCAGCAGGGAGCATACACGTTGAACAACTCAAATTTTTTGTTACTTTGTGCTTGTCTGCAAATGACCATGAAAATGCTGCAAGTGTTGATTTTGTGGTAACGAGTACCTTTTGGCAAGTAGGGAAAATTGCAGATAGGGAATTTGTGAAGAATGAGACTCAACCTATGAAATACTGGGAGAGAGGCAGTTTTTTAGGAAACTTAGCATTAGCACTTTCCCCTCTTTGTCATATTTACACATATCTTTATAGCATTTTATTTTAAGAGAATAATGCTATGAATCTTTCTAATACTAAGTGTTCTGATAGATGCCATTATGTCAATAAAGAGACTTCTTTTTTGAGAATACCTTTATTTATAATCATGTTATTATTTAGTTCATAGGTAAATTGAAGCAAATAATTGTAGGAAATAATTGCAACTCTTAAAATGTTGAAAACAAGTCTAAACTATTAAACTTTTATTATATGAGAGTTGTATTACAATATTTTCTCATAGGCATTATTAATAACTTAAGGCATAAGTTTTATAAAGGGAAATACCATTTGGAGGTTGAAATTTAAATATTGGCTCTATTAGTCTCTCATTAGTGACAATTTTCCTCATGACCATTGATAAAGGATTCCAAGAAAAAGATGAATGAAGATTGTATACATCATAAATCAGATCTCCCACTAAATGTATTTATTGAGACTTGGCTGTTTTATCCCTCATGATTTAAGATCCTCAAGTGAATTATTTGCATTAATTTGATAAGTGCTGAGAGTAAGAATCAGAAATGGTAGACCTCACCTATGTTCATCTTTTTTATATAGCATACACTATATTCCTGTGTTTTTCAAAAATGTTTATTTTATAGTAAAATGTACATAACATAAAATTTATCATTTTAACCATTTTATAGTTTAGTGGCATTAAGTACATTCACATTGTTGTGCAACCATCACCGTCAATCAGCTTCAGAATTTCTTCTTTTTCCAAACTGAAGCTTTGTACCTATTAATTAATAACTCCCCATTCCTCATGCCTTCTGGCTCCTGACAGTCACCATTCTACAGTCTCAGTGAACTTACCACTCAAGTTACCCCATGTAAGTGGAATCATACACCATTTGTTCTTTTGTGTCTAGCTTATTTCATTTAGCATCATGTCTTCAAGGTTCATATATGTTGTAGCATGTGTCAATTTTTTTTTAAAGCTGAGAGTATTCCATTGTATGGATCTGCCACATTCTGTTTATCCATTTATCTACCTTTGACTATTGTAAATAATATTGCTATGAATATTGGTGTACAAATAGGTTTTGACTCTTGCTTTTGATTCTTGGGTAGATTCCCAGAAGGGGAATTGCTGGGTCATATAGTAATTCTATGCTTAAGTTTTTGAGGAACAATCGTATTTTCCACACCAGTTGTACCATTTACATTCCTACCAGCAGTGCACATATATTCATCTTGATTTACTGAGCAGCACCTATTGTTCTGAAGTATGGCATAAATTATTAACTCTTGCATATGAGTTGTAAAGTATAGTATGGGTACAAAAATCATGTATTCAGTATTAAATCTTTTGTGGTTGTGGTTTTTGCTGAATAATTTAACTTGCAGTGGCAAATATGTCTGACTGCGACATGATGGCACCTCTTTTGGAATCTCCGTGGAGTAGATAAAATTATGTATTCTAGCTGTAGCTATGAAGAAGTTTTGTTTCTAAAGTACTTTGATTTCAGAGTTTATTAATAAACCTACTTTTCATATTACATAAAATATATTTGGTATGCACAATCAAAAGTGATTAGAAAACCTACTGATTAGCACATTTATGGGGTGTCAGTTATATGCAAGGTTCCAGTATATGATAGATGCAAAGAACCATGAGGATATGGTTATTACTCTCAAGAGCTGTACAGTTTGAAGACACAAGACAAACACATGAAAGTTACATTGCTACACATGAAAAATAAGGGTATATTATTTAAAATGAAAAGATGACATGCCAGTATGTGATTAATCGCCCACTGAGTATTTGTAGGCAAGATTAACATGAGCTTAGCTCAAAGGAAATATCACTATCGGGAGAGGTATCTGAAAATGCTTCATCTCTAAAGTATATTTTGAGTAGTGTGTTGAAGGATGCATAAAATTCAGATAGGTGGAGAGGTAAGGGCAAGCTCTTCCAATTAAGGAGGAATAGCATAAATGTCAGACATTTTTACTGTGCCAACTCATTAATTGGCATTAATTTAGCATAGTCCTTGGACCTAAAAATTAGATTAAATCTATTGAACAAAAATTGCAAGTTAGTCCTCCAGCTCTACATTCTGTTCATGCTACCATGTTCACTGAATGGTGATGGTAGTAGTAATAGTGGTAGCAGGAGAAGTAACAGTTAGCTAATATTTGTTAAGTGCTTTCTATGTGCCAGGCACTTTGCTAACCACCCTTTACCAATATTATCTCCATTCATTCTTTGGTAACCCTATGAGCTAGGAGTTGCGGGCTACTATCCCTTCCTGTGAATGAAGAAGGGTAGACTTAGAGAACTTAAGTAACTTGCCCACAGTTGCACAGAGTAGTGGAATCAGTCAGGATTTACATCCCCAGGGAGTTTAGTTTTAGAACCAGCACTTATTACCACTGGTCAATATTGCCATAGCACTAAATGTAGGAGGGGCTAGTGAAAAAAAAAGTGGATTTTTTTTTTTTTTAATGACCTGCAAACTTTTGCAACCTTTATGTGTGATTGATGTTTCAACATTCTGGCAATCCCTGGTTATTAGTCAGGGTGGTTTGTAAACTGCTCTGAAAAGCTGTAGAGTGATGAACTGGTGGTCTGTTCCTAATGAGGCTTTTCCTTAACAGGATGGCTTCTGTAGCTGCTGAAGAGCACAGATAATGGGGGTAATCTGTTCTGTGAACAGCTAAGTAATGACCTTAAACTTGTGTGTTCACAGCGGAAAGAAAACATGCATATACAATTTTCTTCTGATGAAACCTAATGTATTCAAGAAAAAGAATCTTGTTTTTTGGAAGGATGGAAAAGTTGGGAATAATTTTTTCCCCTTTGATGATTAGACCAGTACTGTTGCTTAATTTTTTGGCTCAGTTACTTTGATGTGGTTACAAGAGGAATTTTGGCTGTAATGGATTTCATACATTTTTGTAAGTTATGTTTCCATGTCTTCTGTGTGATGTTGTGTACTGTTGACATGAAATACTCCTTTTTTGGTAAAGATGGCATGGCTTGACAGATTAGAGCTACAGAAAGTATGACTTAGCATGCTAGTAAGGCCACAAAAACCCAAGCAAGTTCCCCCAGTTTCGTATCCTGTAAATAGAGATAAGTTAGTTTTTCTGTTTCAGAGAGTGCTTATGGAAAATTACTAGGCTTTAAAATGATTGTTAATCTCAGTGCAGGGACATTTGGTTGGGGCACATCAGTTCAAGAATAAATGTATCTGATCCTGCTTTGAATAAATGTAACTTTAAAGCCTTGGGATTTTACCAAATCGAATCTGGGCCAAATAGAAAGGTAGGAGTAGATGTAAATTTGTTTGTAAAGGAGTTGGGGATGTGTGTGGTGGGGCAGGGTGAGGGTGGAGGGATGGGCAGGGTTGAAGTCTCCTTGGAAGCCCTTGGAGTAAAAGTCAGTGAATGTTAAACCTTTTTGGTTGTTTTTGTTGCTGAAAGTATATGCGAAGTGTTTTTGTCTTATATTTCAGAATGTCTAATTTAATAGGGATATAGACAGTTGGTTTAAACCAACATTTTTGGATGAGGAGAGGCTATGGAAATGAAGAAAGAAGTGTTTAGAAATATCACACAAACAGGTACTTCAGTCTAAATAGTAGTATTGTCTTGATTTTTTCCCCTCATATTTCTCATCAAAATTATGAGATTCTGGGGCTAGCGTATTTGGATTAGAAATTTCAAGGGCTGTGTTTATGTATTTGGGTGGACTACAAGCATGAGAGTCAGTCATAGTTGCTAATGTGCAGTCATTGATGAAAAACGTTTGTGTCTTTGTTCAACATCTGAAGTGCCTTAAACGCAGTATAGTTCTTTAGTAGAAAATATAGACAGCTCTGAGGCTGTACTTCTCACTGATAACATAGTCACAGTTTTAGATATCTTTGTCACTAATACAATGAAATAAAGGCTTTTTGATAGGTATTTTAATGTTTGTAGTGCTTTTAAGGAGAAGCATAGTACTGTGATACAAGAAGAGGGTGGTAGTGGCTGACTGATAGCATAATTAAAGGAACGATCAGGAGTCCAAATTCACATTTCATCTGGCAGTGCTGGATTTTAAAAAAACCTCCTACCAAGAAAGGTTGATGTGCCACGTTACTAGACTTGCGTATAGTGTAGCACATAGTTGAGTAAGAGACTTGGAGACACAGGGTGGTTCTTAGTAGGGTGTGAAATCGTGGTGGCATGGTGTGTTATGATAAGGGATTTATCAGCTACACTCATTTTGCTTTTAGAATGCTAAGAGTTAAGTTAGTGAATTGACTAACTATAATTCTACAAAATAGTGCTAAAAGTTTATTATAATTAGTTTATTTTCCGTTTCATCCAAAGAGAGCATCCACTTTGCTATATTACAATAACTGAGATAGAATCACAGGTATAGATACTTCGGGATAAATGAAATTGGAAGTGCCATACAGAATGAGACCATCCAACCTAATTACGCTGACTTGGTCAATGTCCCGGAAGTGTTTATACGGGAGAGATAGCTGTCATTAATGACTTCAGCTCCAAAAACTTACTAATGGAATACTTTATAAACCTTAAAAATGATTAGGTAGATATGCACTTACTGACATGGAAAATTTTTCGTGGACTATTTTGCAAAAAGGCAGGTTATAAAACTGTATATTCAATCTTTGTGTAAAAAATATATATTTACATAGCATGGAAAAAATGGTCTGGAAGGATACACACCATGAGGTGCATCCTCCGGCTTTATGTGCTTGTGAAATCTAAAGTCTCCTGGTGTGGATGTGGCTCTATGCTTCAGATATGAAAAGCTTTTGATAATACTTATTTACATTATTAGCTTAGCTAATAAAAAGGGAAACTACATGTTGGGGTTACTGGTTTTGCCATTGTTGTTATTTACTTATTTTCAATTGGAAATTGTAAAAAATTCAGAATGAACATTGTATTATTATTAGTATTATTAGTATTATTATTATTGAGATGGAGTCTGGCTCTGTCACCCACGCTGGGGTGCAGTGGCATGATCTCGACTCACTGCAACCTCTACTTCCTGGGTTCAAGCGATTCTCCTGCCTCAGCCTCCCAAGTAACTGGGACTACAGGCACGTGCCACCATGCCTGGCTAATTTTTGTATATTTAGTAGAGATGGAAACCGTTTTGCCGTGTTGGCCAGGCTGGTCTCGAACTCCTGACCTCAGGTGATCCGCCTGCCTCAGCCTCCCAAAGTTCTGGGATTACAGGCGTGAGCCACCACGCCCACCAAATGTTGTATTTTTTAAAAGCAAATATTTAGAATAAAGCTTGTTAGTAGACCTTTATTCATTGATTTATTTCATCTTTCCTGGAGGGAAAAACATATATACGTATGCTTTTCCAGAATAAATTAGTCTTTTTGGGGATACTCCTGTGCTGCAGATCAGAAAGACTGCTTTAGAAAACAAAACAAAAATTCCAGCTACCTAAATTGTCTAAGAATCTGGCAGAGTTTGGATACAGTGGATAATTGTTCAAAAAAAGAAAGCTTTTTGGAGATGAGGTTAGAAGAAGAGTTCACAAAGTGAAAATTTAATGGGTTTAAAAAACAAAAAAAACAAAAACAAAACTTGCAACAATTGAGAAAGGTAGCAATCCTGAGAGGTTCTTTGAAGACAGCTGGGAGATTTTCCTCCTGTGGCTTCGTTTTCTTAGTTTTTGCTGACCTCCCCCCACCCCCTGCAAATTCAGAGGCAATACATTTCTCTTTTGTCTTTTTTTTTTTCTTTTTTTAAAACTCTTTCTTAACGCTTGTTTTTTTCCACCAACTGTCCCACCTCTTCCACTTTCATTTAAGCCTCTCAAAGGTATGATTGCTACTCTTTTCTCGGCTTATTTACTGAACTCCCTATTCGATGGATTCTCTTCCCTTAACTGTACTGGAAATGCTTCTCCTAAGGTAAACAAACTCTTAGTTGCCGAGTCCTTTACTGATTTTTAAATTCTCATTTTTGACCTCTGTATTCTTCATAAAGATCAATAACCCACATCCTTGCACTGTAGTCATGGTAATCTCTCAGAATTTTTCTTCGTTTTATCTTTGCAGGATAAAGTCTAGCCCAAGAAAGGTCAGTCATGACCTTACTGACCACTGTCACCTCCACAGTTGAATCTCCTTTCCCCGCCTGTCAGCACACATATTTTATGTTTCAGCAGTACAGCTGATAACCCTTGTTTCTGGTCTCTTGTGGTTGTTCATGTGCTATTGTTTCCTGTGCCTAGAATGCCATTCCTCACCTTGTCAGCTAACCTTTATCTTTCAAAATGGCTCAGGATTCACCTACTTCCTTGATCACACTTCTGAAAGTTAATCACTTCTTATGTTTAATTCACTATTTCTTGTCTGGCTTATTTTAGATATGTGTTATGTATCTCCTTCTAGAGTGTGGATGCCCTGAGGGCAGAGTTTGGATTTTATTCCTTCTCACTTTCTTTAGTGCTTAGCATAGTGTGTGGTGTAGATTTAGCATCTGGTACATGCTTGTTGAACTGAACTAAATGAAACTAAGCTCTATGAAGGCACATATTTAAAAAATAAATGAATGGGGAAATAAACCTAATTGGGAGAATTTGTTAAGATATAAAAATGAAAAGAGATGGCAGAGAAAACGAAATATATTAGTTGTCTGCATTTTTACTAAACAATTGGTAAGGAAATTCTCATTCTCAGGTTGTCTTGTGAAGAAAACAACTACCCAAGTGGATAGCAAATGACTAGAATGAAATGTCATCTGACCCAAGGAACCTGAAGGTGAAATTGTGGAGCCTTTGACAAATTGTTTACCTGAAGTTTTGTTTCCAAATAGTGGTAGCAAAATATTGGCAGGTAGCTTTTAGAGTGTAGTTTCTGCACTTCTCTGATGAATAGATATGATTGATTCGTTGAATACAAATGGGTCCTTGTCAAATAACTGAAAGTAATTTTAAACTACTTGAGAGTATTTTCCTTTTCTCCATTTTTGTGAAAGCTATGAAAACTTCTTGAAAATTTAGCCCCATCCTAAATTAATGCATATTTTGAATTATTGTGATTTCTTTTTCAAAAGCACAAATCAGTTCCCAAGTATCTACTATTGTAGTAACTTGAAACCTGCAGAAATGGCTTCCTGCTGCAGGAAGCACCTCTTTCCTTTTTTAACCTCTACAATCAGCGGTGACCGGGAGGCCTGAATCTCCCAGCCATCTTAAGGCATCACATCTCCTTAGCTTATGGCTCCAGAATCAGCATAATTTGGGTCAAATTTTGGTAAT